ATTACGGCAAAATTGGGTCATCGGAAAATGTCTCAGTCTGTCTATCTTTGACTAAATGGTTTCCGTCTGAAATGTATTCCTCAGTAGAGAGATATTATTCTCAATAAGGCCTAAAGGATAATTATTTTCCATTCACTTTCATACGAAATGGAAGTCCCCTTAACAATGTTATCTCAAGAGATTAATCGAAACCCAGTTTCTCTTCGTATCAAGATAATCAACAAAACCATTATATATCGATCTATGTTTTTAAATTCTCTTTTGCTTAAATGTGTGTTCTTGTCTTAGTGTTAACTTGAAAATTTTACAAGAATGAGTCCCAGCTCTGATGATGTCCATTATAGGATGGACGAAGGCTCAGGCCGTTTTCACCTGAAAAGATGGAGGAGGTCTCGTGGACTTCATCAATTTCAACGTCGTATAAAAGACAACGAGCTTCATCCGTCTTTGGTTGAGATTGAACTTTGGATCTCTTCTTCATTCACTTTCATACCAAATGAAAATCCTAGCAATAATGTTATCTCAGGAGATTCATCGAAACCCAGTTACTCTTCATATCAATCATTGGTATTATTTAGCTTTTATTGGCTCGTTTTCCTTGTATACTTATGCCGTGGATTCTCATTACTTGAACTATTTCTGATACTCTCAAGGAATCACAGTGTCAATGCATCTTAATGCTTCATTTATTAACTATATATTTGCACAAATATTTTATTGAGGGAAATTTTGTTTGTTTTGATATAAAATGTCAAGCGTTTTAGTTTATTTTGCTATTTATATTCATTTATTCTACAATAACCTTATTTTCCTCGTGCTTATCCACGAAGCCTCTATATAGCGCTAATCATAATTAACCTCCAGCCTTCTATAATAACAAATAAATTTTTACATCTATATCTACTCTTTTCCCCAACAGCACTGCCCTCATCTCCTGTTTTTATGGTGTCTGATGAGCCCCGACTCAATTCTCAGCCTTTTACACCAAGCCCATTGTTTCAGATAGCCGCCTCTCCTGCTTTATCCTCAGACTCTATGGGCAGGTCGGAGTCGATGTCGAAGTCACTTCACCATCTCCCTACTTGTGCCATGGCCGTTAACAAGGCGGTAAATAGTAAAAGTGAAACTTCTGCTAGCCTAGACTCTTCTCCAAAAGAGAATTCATCTCTCCTACCAATTTCGCAAAAAACTTCGCGACTATCTCGTTCCAACCGTAGGCGAAACCGACGTGCCGAGCCCAAACCAGCTAGCTTATCTGTTGTCAATGCCCTTATTTCGCCATTGGCTGTTGACGTACGTTCATGTGAACCTGATGAGGAGCCGAGGCATGCAAGCGAGCCTGTATATCGTGATTCAGAGGCTGAGTTAGATGGCTACAGTTAAAGCAGTGGCAGCAGATACATTTACACAAGCTTACATGCCAGATATCCGCGACTTACATCAACTTTTCAGCGCCAACATCTCTTCTGCGCCCCGTCCACTTCCGTCCAATTAGGTGGTTACATTTAACAATGATTTTCCTAATAGAATAAGAAATAGGCCATATGTAATTGAGTATGGCAAGGGCACATTCATCATTATCATTATTGAAATATTATATTGTGTTTCACATTCTGAATGCTGCATAACCGTCTGTCTGCATTTGCTTGTTGGTCGAGGTGCTTGGCTTTCTAGGGGAATCCACACAATAATATTCCCTGTTTTACTTTAGCCAATAATGAATGGAAGCATTAAATTTTTCCTTTATAGCAGGCATACTCTAGCTCGATCCATTCAGACTACCATTACTTCATGCTTGTCTACAGTGGAGTACTTCTCGCTAAAGTCGATAAAAATTATCAATCTAAATCTTTTTTAGATTGAACTAGCTGAGTTACAATAGTAACATCAATAAGCATGATTATCGAACTCTATGGCGTTTCATTTGGAATCTTGTCCGTAATTGGAAATACACTTAGGCTCATGAGGTAGGTCTGATTACGTACTTAAGCCTATTAACTACTAAAAGAGATAAATACTAAAACGCCCCTACATCATGAAACCGTTATATAACGATCGCTTCACGATCATAATAATATTTTTATAGAGGTTGCTTATTTTATATATTATACCTATGCTGTATGTTTACACAATATGGTGTTCACAATATTAGAAATTTAGTAGCATATATTTAGCAATGTGTAATAGATAATTTCGCTTTGGATTAAGGATGCCTAGTACTAGCCAAAATAGGGATATTTTCGTGGGTCTCAAGAATAACTGCCTAGATATACTCGTTTCACCCATTTATAATCAAGATGAATTTAATCGCACTCCTGGCAGCAGGGGTACCTGAAAAATCAGCCCTCAAATATGTTTGCTTGAATAGTTGCTTTATTTAACACAGATCGCATAAATTGATGAAGAAATGATGACTGAATTTGTTCCACGTTTACATGACTAGGTCTCAAGACACCATTGCATCTTCATTGGCATTTCCTCTTATTCAGTTTCGACTTCATCCCAACTTCATCAGTATCTTCATCGGTAATCGGATCTGAGTAGTATAGTGTACATTTTTGACATGTTGCTAGTTAGTAGATCTCAACCTGATATGGCCATAAGTAATTTATTCAACTGTAATGACACAATTAAAGATTGCATAAGAAATGGATTTTGAAGAATCCCTTAATAGATTTATGTTGAAGCGTCTTTAATTTCGTTTGAAGAGGCGAGCAGAAAGGATTCGTAAGTTAGTTTCTTCAGAAGCTGTAGGGGAATTGCCTTGGAGCTGTTAATGTAGATTGCATGAATAGGTCCTCAGCGTACCGCCCTGCGACTCCGATGAATCCTTACTGAACTGTCGTCCGTCATGTGATGGACATTGTCTGAGCAGGGCAGCATGCTTAACGATAATTCATCAAGAACACGAAGGCCATAAGG